CCAGCCAGTGGGACACCCTTGGGAGACTTCCCATCGCCTCCTGCCAAGGAAGCCCTCTGCAAACCTTGGCCAGCTTGGAGCAGGTACCTTTAAATGCTTCTGTGGCAACCAGCTCCTCCTCCCTGGTCCCCCGAGGCCTTCCCAAGGAAGCTGACTTAGAGGCTCTGCATTTTCCTGGTTTCTTAGCAAAAGGAAGATTCCAGGGAGAGCCCAGGGGGGCCGGGGATGGACCTGGGATCAGGCAGCAGCCAGGGCGAGGACTCGGAGACCACCTTCCAGCTGTGGCTGCAGCTACTCCTCTGGGCCCACCTGGCTGTCCGTTTCCTGAGTTACCTGCACCACACCTTCTGGGAGCCTAAGCCGAAGCCAGCACCCTGAGCCTCCCTGGCCAGGGGGCAGGAGGCCCCCAGGTCACCCCATCCCAGCTACCCTTTATTCCACCCTCTGCTGGAAGAGACAGGAAGCAGAGGTGAGTGTGGGGGCTCTTGATGGAGGTTACCCACTCGTCCCCCCATCATCCCTCTCTGTCTCCTGCTCCTCCTGGCACTGGCCTCCCCCATGCCCCATCCCCAAATCTGACAAGCTAACAGGGCCATAGTGGCACCAGAGGGGACAAAGCCTGGTCGCTCCTGTCCTTTGAGAGGCCAGAGAAGGGCAGTGCTAAGAGCAAGGCACCCTGTGGAGCTATTCCATGGAGCAGCAGCAGACAGCCAGAGGCTGGGAGCTCAGTGAGTCAGGGAGGTGGAGGATTCAGCAATTCTTTCCTTTTTGCTAAGAGAAAAGGGAAAACGGACCAGGCCTTTTGGATTCCTTTCAAGCCCGGCACCTCTCTGCCTTCTTGTGTGGGTGAAGGTAGAGTCCCAGGAGGGTGCCCTCCACCCTCCCCACTCAGTGCTGAGTTGTGTGTGGATTATTTGGAGGTTTCCAAGGAAGATGTTTTGTGTCACAAAGGTTCTGCTTGTGAGGCCGTGTATGGTGGCTCACACCTGTAATCGCAGCACATTGGGAGGCTAACATCAGACGAATCCATTGAGGCCAAAAGTTGGAGATCAGCCTGGGCAACATAGCAAGACCCCATCTCAAAACAAAACACACAAAGGTTCTGCTAGTGAAAGCGTTGGATTCGGTGCAGCCCCCAGGCTCAGAGAGGCCCCTGGGCTAGTTGGTGGCCCAGCCAGACACCCACCTAGGATTCCCAGCCCCTCAGTGGCTGTCCCCTCTCGCCCCAGTCATTCTTTCTGGGGCCTTCTTGACCACAGTCTTTCTCTTCCCCCATCTGCCGCTTTTTTTTTTTCCTTTTTTGGGATGGAGTCCCATTCTGCCACCCAGGCTGGGTGCAGTGGCGTGATCTCAACTCGCTGCAACCTCCACCTCCCGGGTTCAAGCAATTCTCCTGCCTCAGCCTCCTGAGTAGCTGGGATTACAGGCACGCGCCACCATGCCCAGCTAATTTTTTGTATTTTTAGTAGAGACAGGGTTTCACCATGTCGACCAGGATGGTCTCGATCTCTTGACCTTGTGATCCACCCTCCTTGGCCTCCCCAAGCGCTGGGATTACAGGCGTGAGCCACCTCGCCTGGCCGCAGTCTACCACTTTCTAGCCTGGTGAGGGCTCTGTTCTCTGAATGCTGAGGGAGAGCCTTGGGGACAAGTAGTGCGGGTGGCTCCCCCTCCCCAGAAGTCCATGTGGGATTCCTGGCAGGTAGATGACCAGCAGTCCCAAAGTGCAGGTGTATGGGGCCCCTCAGGGTGGTAGCAAACCCAGGAACATCAGGGGGTTCAAGACAGCTCTGTCCACATTGACCACCCTGGTGCACTAGACTCAGTGCTGAAACCAGTGGCTGAGTCGGCAGTGAAACAGTTAATCTCATGGGAAGTAGGGGGCAGGCAGGTGACCACAGACCTGATCAGTCTTCTCCTGTGTACAGTGGGAAAAACAGCAGCTCCCACCCCACAGGGTCAGAATGAAGCACAGAAAACACAGCAAGGGCTGGTCCCTTGTTGCCCTAGGTGGTAGTTTAAAGGACAAGTCCATAATGTAAGAATCTCTCAGGCTGCCCATTTAAAATTTGAGCACTCAATGTATCCCCTACATTTGTTTTTTATTATTATTACTGCTTTTTTTTTTTTTGAGACAGGGCCTCACTCTGTCATCCAGCCTGGAATGCAGTGGCTCAGTCACGGCTCACTGTAGCCTCGACCTCCCGGGCTTGAGCAGCCGTTCCACCTCTGCCTCCTGAGTAGCTGAGACTACAGGTGCCCACCACCACACCCAGCTAATGTTTTTTTTCTTATTTTTTATTTTTTTGAGATGGAGTGCAATGTCACAGTCTCAGCTCACTACAACCTCCGCTTCCTGGGTTCAAATGATTCTCCTGCCTCAGCCTCCCAAGTAGCTGGGATTACAGGCACCCGCCACCACGCCCGGCTAATTTTTGTATTTTTAGTAGAGACGGGGTTTCACCATGTTGACCAGGATGGTCTCGATCTCTTGACCTCATGATCCACCCACCTCGGCCTCCCAAAGTCCTGGGATTACAGGTGTTAGCCACCGCACCTCGCCAATGCTTTTATTTTTTGTAGAGACGGGGTTTTGATGTTGTCCAGGCTGGTCTCGAGCTCCTGTATTCAAGCAATCCCCCCATCTCGGCTCCCAGAGTATTATTATTTTTTTGAGACAGAGTCTCACTCTGCCGCTGAGGCTAAAGTGTAGTGGTATGATCACAGCCCACTGCAACCTCAATCTCCCAGGCTTTAAATGATCTTCCTGCCTCAGCCTCCCAAGTAGCTAGAACTTTTCTGACACAGTCTTACTCTGTCCCCCAGGCTGGAGTGCAGCAGCGTGATCTCAGCTCACTGCAACCTCCACCTCCCGGGTTCAAGAGGTGAACCTGCCTCAGCCTCCCAAATAGCTGGGATTACAGGCAGCCACCACCATGCCCGGCGAATTTTTGTATTTTTAATAGACATGGAATTTCACCATGTTGGCCAGGCTGGTTTCGAACTCATGACCTCAAGTGATCCACCCGCCTTGGCCTCCCAAAGTGCTGGGATTATAGACGTGAACCACCTTGCCCCATCTCTCCTCATATTTTATTTATTTTTTATTATTTTTATTTTTTGCTTTTTTATTTTTATTTTTTTAAGACTCAGTCTCACTCCTGTCTGCCAGTCTAGAGCGCAATGGTGCAATCTTGGCTCACTGCAATCTTCACCTCCCGGGTTCAAGCAATTTTCCTGTCTCAGCCTCCCACGTAGCTAGGATTACAGGTGCCTGCCACCATGCCTGCCTCATTTTTGTATTTTTTTTTTAAGCAGAGATGGGATTTCACCATGTTGGCCAGGCTGGTCTTGAACTCCTGACCTCAGGTGATCTGCCCGCCTCGGCCTCCCAAAATGCTGGGATTATAGGCATGAGCCACCACGTCTGGCCTTTTAAAATTTATTTATTTATTTATTTATTAATTTTTTCCAAGACTGAGTCTTGCTCTGTTACCTAAACTGGGGCGCAGTGGTGCGATCTCGGCTCACTGCAAACTCCGCCTCCTGGGTTCAAGCAATTCTCCTGCCTCAGCCTCCTGAGTAGCTAGAATTACAGGCATGTGCCACCATACCTGGGTAATTTTTTTGTACTTTTGGTAGAAACGGGGTTTCACCATGTTGACCAAGCCGGTCTCCAACTTCTGACCTAGTGATCCACCTGCCTTAACCTCCCAAAGTTCTGGGATTACAGACATCAGCCACTGCACCTGGCCTGACTTCCCATATTTTATACTTCAGTTTAAAAAATAATAGGCTGGCATGATGGCTCACATCTGTAATCCCAGCACTTTGGGAGGCCAAGGTGGGCAGATCACTTTGAGGTCAGGAGTTTGTGACAGCCTGGCCAACATGGTGAAACCCTGTCTTTACTAAAAATAAAAAAGTTAGCCAGGCATGGTGGTGGGCGCCTGAAATCCCAGCTACTCAGGAGGCTGAGGCAGGAGAATCGCTGGAACCCAGGAGGCGGAGGTTGCAGTGAGTGGAGATCACGCCACTGCACTCCAGCCTGGGCGACAGAGCGACTCTGTCTCAAAATAATAAGTAAAATAATAATAGCTGACATTTATCTGGCACTAACATCATGTGGGCCACTGTCTAACCCCCTTTGCCAAGATGAACTCATTCATTCCCCAAAACCACCCCATTTTACAGATGAGGAAAACTGAGGCCTAGAGAGGTAAGATCAGTTGCCCAAAGTCATAAAGTTCGTTGGAGACCAGGCTGGGCTCTGAACTAGATCTTGTCTCCAGGTCCTGGCCCATAGCTGCTTTGCTGGGCTGTGTCTCAGCAGAGATGAAAATGACTGTTTTCAAGCCTGTTTCCTGGGTTGTTAAATGGAGGCAGTGGATACAAGGCAGGCTGACAAGGCATTCAGATGAGACTGTGGACAGCAACCAGCCCAGGGTCCGCTGGGGAACTTTCAACGTTAGCCGGGTGGTGATGTTCGCCTTGGGGTGCCGTGGGGCCGAGGAGTGGGCATTGGGAGAGACTTCCCTTGAACCAGCTCTGGAGCAAAGCCCTTTGGATTGGCACGGAGAGGAACAGGGCCAGCTGGGGGCCAAGGTGACAGCTGAGCCCCCCAAGGGCGCCTGCTACCCGAGCCCCTGAGGTCTCCACCCCAGGCCCGGCCTCCCCAGAGAAGGGGCTGGAGGAACCGCCAAATCCCGAGGCTATAAATACCCCGGCTGGCGCCGGCCCTGGCCATGGAATGTCGGTCAGAACTGGGGCGAGTGGGGGTGTGCTGGCCTGCCTGGATGCCTCTTTCCGTTCCCCTGGGGGTGACCCCCTGAGACTCTCTGTACCCCACTTTGGATGGAGTGGTGTTTGGATCCCACCTCTCTGGAGCAAGGGAGGCCCAGCCAGGGCCCCCAGAGGCACCAGAAAAAGGTCAGGTTCTGGGTTGAGGCAGCTGCACCCCACTTTCCACCAAGTATCTCCCCAGAAATCACCTGAACCCACCTCGGCGAGATGGGGTTCTCTAACTCTCCCCTCTCTCTCTTTCAGTGAAAGAATTCTTAGCCAAAGCCAAAGAAGATTTTCTTAAAAAATGGGAAAGTCCCGCTCAGGTAAGGCTGCTGGGTGCAGAGCCCAGAGTTGGGTGAGCTGGTAACCCCTAGTCCCCTGGCTGTGTCCCTGCGACACAGCTAGAATTTCAGGAACCCCTTGGAAGGCTCCAGACCCTCCCCGTTGGATCCCTAGGTGCCCATGGGGGCTCCTGCATGGAGACACCTGACTGCTGAATCCCAGGCACCCCCATCCCACCACCCCTTCCAACGGCCCGCCCCTGCCCCCAGCACAGCTGCCAGCAGCTCCTGGGCCCCAGGCCAGAGCCGGATCTGGCCCCTGCCACCCGCCTTAAGGAATCTCTGCCATCTTGATTTTCCGCCTCCTGTCCTCACCCCGCTCACCCCACGTGCTCCCCGGGGCCCCCTCTGCCGGTGGTGGAGGGGATGCCCCAGACCTTAGCCCAGGAGGCTGTGGGAAGGGTATGTCCTGAGCCTGCTGACCCCTCTGCCCACAGAACACAGCCCACTTGGATCACTTTGAACGAATCAAGACCCTCGGCACGGGCTCCTTCGGGCGGGTGATGCTGGTGAAACACAAGGAGACCGGGAACCACTATGCCATGAAGATCCTCGATAAACAGAAGGTGAGCCGGCCCGCCCCCGCTCGGGTCCTGCCTGCCAAGCCTTCGCCTGGACTATGCCTACTCTTTAGAGTGCCCTATCCACCCATTCACTCACTTGCTTTTTTTTTTTTTTTTTTTTTTTTTTTGAGACAATCTCACTCTGTTACTCAGGCTGGAGTGCAGTGGTGGGATCTCAACTCACTGCAACCTCCCCCTTCTGGGTTCAAGCAATTCTCCTGCCTCAGCCTCCTGAGTAGCTGGGATTACAGGTGCCCGCCATCATGCCTGGCTAATTTTTGTATTTTTAGTAGAGATGGGTTTTTACCATGTTGGCCAGGATGGTCTTGAACTCCTGACCTCAGGTGATCCACTTGCCTCAGTCCCCCAAAGTGTTGGTATTACAGGCATCAGCCACTGCGCCTGGCCACTTGCTTTTTTTGGGGGGGAGGGGACAGGGTTCCATTCTGTTGGCCCAAGCACGAGTGCAGTAATGCAATCATAGCTTACTGTAGCCTGGAACTCCTGAGCTCAAGCAGTCCTCCTGAGTAGCTGGGACTACAAGCGCATACTACCATGCCTCACAGGGTCTTGCTATATTGCCCAGGCTGGTCTCGAACTCCTGGCCTCAAGTGATCCTCCTACCTCAGCCTCCCAAAGTGCAGGGATTATAGGCATGAGCCACCATGCCAGGCTCACCCACTATTCCCTGAATCCCCATAACATGCCATCTCCAGGGGTCAGAAGGGCCCTGTTCTGCTTTCCCAAGGCTCCCTCTCCAGGCCGGCCATGGATTCTAAGCCAGGCACTCTGACACAGGGTCAGACACCAGCCCAAAGGGAGGAGGCCAAGAGCATTCTTGGGGGAAGCGGTGTTTATGTGGACTTTCTTCCTGCAAATATTTTTGTGACCTAACTTAATACCAGGCACTGCTGTAAAGCAGCAATGTAACCAACAGAAATGTAACGCAAGCCACAGAAGTGATTTTCCATTTACGGTTTGCTCCATCAAAAACAGTGAAAAGAGCCAAGCATGGTGGCGCACGCCTGGAGTCCCAGCTGCTTACTAGAGAGGCTGAGGTGGGAGGGTCGTTTGCACCCAGCCTAGACAAAACGGCCAGACCCCATCTTGGTTTGCACCCAGCCTAGACAAAACGGCCAGACCCCATCTTGTAAGAAAAAAACACCCGTAATTAAAAAAGAAAGTGAAAGAAACTAGTGACATTCATGAAGTTCATTTTGATGATATGTTTTGGGTTGTTTCGTTTTTTTTCATAGTGTCTCCCTCTTGTTGCCCAGGCTGGAGTGCAATGTTGTGATCTCATCTCACTGCAACCTCCACCTCCCTGGTTCATGCGATTCTCCTGCCTCAGCCTCCCAAGTAGCTGGAATTACAGGTGTCTACCACCACGCCTGGCTAATTTTTGTATTTTTAGTAGAGATGCGGTTTTGCCATGTTGGTCAGGCTGGTCTCAAACTCCTGACCTCAGGTGACTCACCCACTTTAGCCTCCCATAGTGCTGGGATTACAGGTGTAAGCCACTGCACCTGGCCTAATGATATGTTTGGTTGGTTGGTTTTTTTTTTTTTGAGATGGAGTTTTGCTCTTGTTGCCCAGGCTGGAGCGCAATGGTGCCATCTTGGCTCACTGCAAACTCCACCTCCCAGGTTCAAGTGATTCTTCTGCCTCAGCCTCCCAAGTAGCTAGAACTACAGGCATGCACCACCACGCCCAGCTAATGTTTGTATTTTTAATAGAGAAAGGGTTTCACCACCAGGCGAGGTGGCTCGTGCCTGTAATCCCAGCAGTTTGGGAGGCTGAGGTCAGTGGATCACCTGAGGTCAGGAGTTCAAGACCAGCCTGACCAACATGGTGAAACCCCATCTCTACTGAAAATACAAAAATTAGCAGAAAAACAAAATTATCTGGATGTGCTGGCGGGCACCTGTAACCCCAGCTACTTGGGAGGCTGAAGCAGGAGCATTGCTGGAACCCAGGAGGCAGAGGTTGCTGTGAGCCTAGATCGTGCCATTGCACTCCAGCCTGAGGGACAGGGTGAGACTCCATCTCAAAAAAAAAAAAAAAATGACAAAGGGTTTCACCATGTTGGCCAGGCTAGTCTTGAACTCCTGACCTCAGGTGATCCACTCACCTCAGCCTCCCAAAGTGCTGGGATTATAGGCGTGTGCCACTGCGCCTGGCATGATATGTTTTAATTAAGCCAGTATAGCTATAGTATTACCATTTTCATATAATATCAATGTGCAAATATCATTAATGAGACATTTTACATTCCTTTTGGTTTTTTCCAGTCCTCCAAGATTTTGGAAACATTTTCTCTTTCTCTGTTCCGAAGTGTCTTTAAAATCCAGTGTCCACTGTATGCTTGTAACAGGTCTCCACTCTGATGGTAAATTCTCCCTCAAAAGATGAGAAAAAAAACAGAGAAGTTGAAAAAGCAGATTTTTGGGAGGCCGAGGCGGGTGGATCACGAGGTCAAGAGATCGAGACCATCCTGGTCAACATGGTGAACCCCGTCTCTACTAAAAATACAAAAAATTAGCTGGGCATGGTGGCACGTGCCTGTAATCCCAGCTACTCAGGAGGTTGAGGCAGGAGAATTGCCTGAACCCAGGAGGCGGAGGATGCGGTGAGCCGAGATCGCGCCATTGCACTCCAGCCTGAGTAACCAGAGCGAAACTCCGTCCCAAAAAAAAAAAAAAAAGAAAAGAAAAAAAAAGAAAAAGCAGATTTGCGTGCCCAAGATGTTCCAACCATGTCTGAAAGTCGCCCAGTATCTACATCAAGATTTCCATTTTTATTTTGTTTTTGAGACAGAGTTTGGCTCTTGTCGCCCAGGCTGGAGTGCAATGGTGCAATCCCAGCTCACTGCAACCTCTGCCTCCTGGGGTTAAGCAATTCTCATGCCTCAGCCTCCCAAAGAGCTGGAATTACAGGTGTCCACCACCATGCCCAGCTAATTTTTGTATTTTTAGTAGAGATGGGGTTTTGCCATGTTGGTCAGGCTGATCTCAAACTCTTTACCTCAGGTGACCCACCCACTTTGGCCTCCCAATGTACTGGGATTACAGGCGTAAGCCACTGCAGCTGCCTGATGATATGTTTATTTGTTTGTTTGGGTTTTTTTTTTTTTTGAGACAGAATTTCGCTCTTGTTGCCCAAGCTGGAGTTAAATGGTGCCATCTCTGCTCACTGCAACCTTTACCTCCCCGGTTCAAGTGATTCTCATGCCTTAGCCTCCCGAGTAGCTGGAATTACAGGCACCCGCCACCATACCTGGCTATTTTAAAAATATTTTTAGTAGAGACAGGGTTTCACCATTTTGGTCAGGCTGGTTATTTTGTTTTTGAGACAAGGTCTTGCTCTGTTGCCCAGGCTGAAGTGCAGTTGGGCTCAAATGATCCTCCCACCTCAGCCTCTAGGTTTGGGCTCAAATGATCCTCCCACCTCAGCCTCTAGGTTTGGGCTCAAATGATCCTCCCACCTCAGCCTCTAGAGTCTCTGGGACCGTAGTCATGCACTGCCACACCTGGCTAATTGTGTGGATTTTTTGTTTGTTTTCGTTTTTGTTTTTTTTAGAGATGGGGTCTTGCTATGTTGCCCAGGCTAGTCTTAAACTCGTGGGCTCAAGAGATTCTCCTGCCTGGGCCTCCCAAAGTGCTGGGATTACAGGCGTGAACCACCGTGCCCAGCTTGGTGTCAGATTTTAAATTTATATTTTAGATACTTAAAATGTTTGAATTTGGCTCCCCAGCGACCAGCCACATTTTAAGGGCCCAGCAACCCCCTGTGGCTAGTGGGGATTGAGCTGGGTAGTGCAGGTATAGACTCTGAGGACTCAGCTATGTGAGCAAAGCAGTTGACAACTGACCGAGGGGCCAGGCTAGCCACGTGTGACACACCAGCCTGACATCAGCCAGCTGTGTGACCTTGGGCAAGTCACTTCTCCTCTCTGTGTCTGTTTTTTTTTTTTTTTTTGGTGAGACAGAGTTTTGCTCGTTACCTAGGCTGGAGTGCAATGGCATGATCTCGACTCACCACAACCTCCCCCTTGTGGGTTCAAGTGATTCTCCTGCCTCAGCCTCCTAAGTAGCTGGGATTACAGGCATGTGCCACCACGCCTAGCTAATTTTGTAGTTTTTTTTTTTTAGAAACAGGGTTTCTCTATGTTGGTCCGGTTGGTCTCGAACTCCCTACCTCAGGTGATCCGCCCGCCTTGGCCTCCCAAAGTGCTCGGATCATAGGCTTGAGCCACCTCACTGGCCTGTGTCTGGTCTTTTAAACTGGCATCCTCCCAGTGTGGGCCTCTAGGGCTCCTATCTTGATTCCGTGAGAGACTAGGTGCCAGGCGCCTGCTCAACTCCTGTGCTGTAGGGGACAGCTGATGGCTGAGGTTCACGTTGCTGTGTGGAATGTTCTAGACAAAGGAAAGGCAGTTCCTAAATCTCTCACCCCTTGGTCTTCTCCTGCCTGTCTTTTCAATTTCAGCTCAGCTGCCCCTTCCTCCAGGAAGCCCTCTCTGATTCCCCCTCCCCCAGACCATGCCAGGTACTTTACGTGGGCTTCTTAGGGGCTGCTGCTTCTCCACAAGCCCAAGATACCTGCCACCATGGCTCTGACCTCTCTGGGGGTAACCCATGTATTCTTTGCCCTGAACTTTGAGCCGTGCAAGGACAAGCAGGCTCTAGCCTCCCTTACACTGTGTCCTCAGCATCAGCCACGGGCCCAACAGGCCACAGGCATGCAAAAAATGATTCTGGCTGAAGGACCCAGCCGGGCTCTGGCACCGCTAGTTCCAGGCATCAGGGGAAATGAGGCCCCTCTCACCTCCCCTTCCTGTCTGCCCTCCCCTCCTACCCTTCCCAGGTGGTAAAGCTGAAACAGATCGAACATACCCTGAATGAAAAGCGCATCCTGCAAGCCGTCAACTTTCCGTTCCTCGTCAGACTTGAGTTCTCCTTCAAGGTGGGGTCCCCGCAGCCAAGGGGTGGGGTCACTGAATTGGATCCTAGCCTTCAGGCCCCCAGGGCTAGGGTCAGAGCTGAGGACAATCAGTGGCCACCCACTTTTGTGGAAGAAGATCCCTGGAGGAGGGAGACCAGGGGATGAGAGTCAGGCTGGGACTCTGGTAGACCCAAGTTCAGTTCCTGGACTGGCCAGTTTGTAGTTAATTCCCTTGGCAAGTCCCCCAACCTCAATAACATCCCTCAAAATCAGCACCTGGTTTACAGCAAGAGCCTGACCCACAGCCAGGTGCACAAACTCCGCCCCAGGCAGCCAGGATTCAGTTCCCAGCTCAGTACTTCCCAATGTGTGGCCCTGAGCAAGGGACTTCTCTCCCTGAGCCTCAGTGTTCTCATCTGTAAAATGGGGATCATACCAGTTCCAGCCTGGTGGAGTTGTCGTGACAGTTCCAGCCACATCTTGAGTACCCTTTGGGAGCCATTTTGGGTGCCATCCAAAGCTGTGATCATGAGAAACAGGAAAGACCACTCAGGGCCAATTTACTTTCTGCTCGACCCAGAGAATCACAAGGGCCTCCGCTCCGAGGGACCCCACACCTGGTTTAATGCTTTGGCCCTGCTACTCCTGCTACCTTGAGATCCTTAATAATTTTTTCTCTTTTCTTTTTTTGAGACAGAGTCTCACTCTGTTGCTCAGGCAGGAGTACAGTGGAGTGATCTCAGTTCACTACAACCTCCACCTCCCAGGTTCAAGCAGTTCTCCTGCCTCAGCCTTCTGAGTAGCTGGGATTACAGGTGCATACCACTACGTCCAGCTAATTTTTGTATTTTTAATAGAGATGGGATTTTGCCATTTTGCCCAGGCTGGTCTCAAACTCCCGACTTCAAGTGATCTGCCTGCCCTGGCCTCAGCCACTATGCTCAGCCTATTTTTTTTTTTTTTTTTTTTTTTTTTTTTTTTTAAGACAAGCGTCTCACTCAGTCACCCAGGCTGGAGTGCAGTGGTGCAGTCACAGCTCACTGCAACCTTTACTTCCCAGACTGAAGCGATCCTCCCACCTCAGCCTCCTGAGTAGCTGGAACTACAGGTGCACACCATGATGCCCAGCTAATTTTTGTATTTTTTTGTATAGACAGGGTTCTCACTGTGTTACCCAGGCTGGTCTCAAACTCCCAGGCTCTAGTGATCCACCCACCCCGGCCTCCCAAAGTACTGGGATTATACAGGCATGAGCCACCACACCTGGCCCTCTGTAATAATCTTTCTAACAAGGGGTCACCTTTTTAATTTTGGGCCCCACTAATTCTGCAGCCCATCATAGTCCTATTTTACAGATGACAAAACTGTGGCCTCAAAGCGTTACTCAAGCTCCCAGAGCAGGCCACTACAGAGTCCTCTCTCTCCTGCCAGGGCAGGCTAGCCAGGTCCCGACATACCACTGAGCCAGCCCTTGCTTTCACCTTTATAACGGCAGGATGAGGGTCAACCCTGCTTCCTGGGCAGAATGAAATGCAGCATGTGGGTTCAGCCAGCAAAGCACCTGGTTCCTAGAACATGATTCCTACGGGGAGCCAGAATCCCTGTTGTCATTTAACGTTTGAACACGAGCCAGGGAGGCCCCAAGGCCTTCAGATATGGCAGGAGGCTCAGGGAGTGGGCCCCTGATCAGCCGCTGCCTCCCACAGGACAACTCAAACTTATACATGGTCATGGAGTACGTGCCTGGCGGGGAGATGTTCTCACACCTACGGCGGATTGGAAGGTTCAGGTAAGCGGGCCACCACCCCCATCACATCAGGCTGTCAGGGTGTCCACAGGTGGCAGTGCACGACCAAGACCCCGGGGGATGCAGAGGAGTCCAGCATGCTTGAACATGCAAGTGAGCTCCCAGAAGCCAGTGGGTTTCTGCTTCCCCTATGCTGAGGAATGAGTGATACTTCAACCACCACAAAGCGAAACAGAGCAAACATGGCAACTTAGGTGGCCAGGTTGAAGCTGGTGCCGGCGCGGTGGCTCTTGCCTGTGATCCCAGCACTTTGGGAGGCTGAGGTGGGCGGATCACCTGAGGCCAGGAGTTCGAGACCAGCCTGGTCAACATGGTGAAACCCTGTCTCTACTAAAAATACAAAAATTAGCTGGGTGTGGTGGTGGGTACTGGTAATCCCAGCTACTTGGGAGGTTGAGGCACAAGAATCACTTGAACCCTGAGACAGAGATTGCCTTGAGCTGGGGTCACACCACTGCACTCCAGCCTTGGTGACAGAGCAACACGCCATCTCAAAAAAAAAAAAAAAAATTGGCTGGGGGCAGTGGCTCACGCCTGTAATCCCTGCACTTTGGGAGGCTGAGGCAGGTGGATCACCTGAGGTCAGGAGTTCGAGACCAGCCTGGCCAACATGATGAAACTTCATCTTTACTAAAAATACAAAAAATCAGCCAGGCATGTTGGCGGGCACCTACAATCCCAGCTACTCAGGAGGCTGAGACAAGAGAATCACTTGAACCCAGGAGGCAGAGGTTGCAGTGAGCCAAGATCGTGCCACTGCACTCCAGCCTGGGCAACAAGAGTGAAACTCTGTCTAAAAAAAAAAAAATTGCAGTTGGTGGTTTTGTGCATTTTTTTTGAGCCCCAAAAAGTGGCATGCATCTGTAGTCCCACTATTCTTGAGGCTGAGGCCAGAAGATGACTTGAGCTCAAGAATTTGAGGCTGGCACAGTGGCTTATGTCTGTAATCCCAGCACTTTGGGAGGCTGAAGTGGGCGGATCACGAGGTCAGGAGTTCGAGACCAGTCTGGCCAATATGGTGAAACCTCGTCTCTACAAAAGAAAAAAAAAAAAAAAAATTAAGGCTCGGCGCGGTGGCTCATGCCTATAATCACAGCACTTTGGGAGGCCAAGGTGGGTGGATCACAAGGTCAAGAGATCAAGACCATCCTGGTCAACATGGTGAAACCCTGTCTCTACTAAAAATACAAAAATTAGCTGGGCATGGTGGCGCAAGCCTGTAGTCCCAGCTACTTGGGAGGCTGAGGCAGGAGAATTGCTTGAACCCAGGAGGCGGAGGTTGCAGTGAGCCGAGATCGCACCATTGCACTCCAGCCTGGGTAACAAGAGCGAAACTCCATCCCCCAAAAAATTTAAATTTAAATTTAAAAAAAAGAGAATTTGAGACTAGCCTGGGCTACATAGTGAGATTTTGTCTCCTCTTTTAAAAAAATTATTTTATTTTATATAGATCAATAGTTTTATATGTATAGATTTTAATGTATATTTTTATACATAAAATGAAACTATATACATAAATGTGTAAGTTTAAGATATAGGCCGGGTACTGTGGCTCACACCTGTAATCCCACTTTGAGAGGGCAAGGTGAACAGATCACTAGAGCCCAGGAGATTGAGATCAGCCTAACATTGTGAGACCCCATCTACACAAAAAATAAATTAAAAAAAAAATTAGCCAGGTATGGTGGCACATACCTGTAGTCCCAGCTCGTGGGGAGGCTGAGGTGGGAAGACACGCTGAGCCTGGGAGTTCAAGACTGCAGTGAGCCATGACCACACTACTACACTCCAGACAGGGTAACAGAGACCCTGCTCAAAGAAAAAAAAATTTAAACTTATAAACTTATAAGTTTATAAATGTCATTTGATTTTTTGAGATAGTGTTTCGTTCTTGTCGCCCAGGCTAGAGTGCAGTGGCATGATCTCGGCTCACCGCAACCTCTGCCTCCCGGGTTCAAGTGATTCTCCATCGCAGCCTCCTGAGTAGCTGGGACTATAGGTGAAGGCCACCTCACCTGGCTAATTTTCGTATTTTTAGTAGAGACGGGGTTTCTCCATGTTGGTCAGGCCGGTCTCAAACTCCTGACCTCAGGTGATCTGCACTCCTCGGCCTCCCAAAGTGCTGTGGTGACAGGTGTGAGCCACCACGCCTGGCCTGGTAGTTGTATTTTAGATAGATAACTGCAGATTCACTTAATGCACAGATCTTCAGTGCTATATTCCACAAATTTTGACAGTTGTATACAGCTACCTAACCTCCACCCAAAACAGTATATGGAACTTTTTCTATCTCCCAAGAAAATTCTCTTGAATCCTTTTTTTTCCTCCAATAATATACAAAAGTGGGGTCTTGCTATACTGCCCAGGCTGGTCTCAAACTCCTGGGCTCAAGCGATCCTCCCACCTCAACCCCCCAAAATACTGGGATTACAGGCGCCGGCCAATGTGCCCGACTGACTCCCTCTCCTGACACGTCACATCCCCGACAAAGGCAGTCATCCTTTGACTTCAAACACCGTGCCTTTGTTTTGTCCAGGCGTGGACATGATATAAATGGAATCATTCATGTTCTTTTGTGTCTTCTCTTGCTTAACATAATCGGTTTGAAATGCAGCCGAGTTGTGGAGTGGAGGCAGGCAATGTCCTGCTGGCGGTGGTGGTGCTGAGTGGAATTCCACTGTATGAATAGAGCTCAGTCTGTGATTCCATTCCCCTGTGGATGGACCTACAGGCTGTTTCCCAGGTCGGGCCACCTAAGAATCAGGTGCCTTGCCTTTCTGACAGCTGGACTGGGGGAGGCTCTGCAGGACCACCTGCTGGACCCTTTTGGGGCCTGGCCAGTGATGTTCACCTCCCCATTTGTCCCCATCAGTGAGCCCCATGCCCGTTTCTACGCGGCCCAGATCGTCCTGACCTTCGAATATCTGCACTCGCTGGATCTCATCTACAGGGACCTGAAGCCGGAGAATCTGCTCATCGACCAGCAGGGCTACATTCAGGTGTCCACCAGGCCGGGCAAGGGGCAGCCCTGGGCAAGCTGTGGCCTGGCCCCTCCCTCCCCGCCAACTGCCTATTCTTGTGCCCACAGGTGACAGACTTCGGTTTCGCCAAGCGCGTGAAGGGCCGCACTTGGACCTTATGTGGGACCCCCGAGTACCTAGCCCCCGAGATCATCCTGAGCAAAGTAGGCGCCTCCCCAGCCCCCCTTCCCTGGAGGCTGGCTCTGCTCGCCGTCTCTCGCCCCCTCCTTACCCTGTGCCCCCCCAATCTTGCTCCAGGGCTACAACAAGGCGGTGGACTGGTGGGCCCTGGGGGTTCTTATCTATGAGATGGCCGCTGGCTACCCGCCCTTCTTCGCAGACCAGCCCATCCAGATCTATGAGAAGATCGTCTCTGGAAAGGTGAGGCCTGGATGCGGGGCACAGCCCTGGAAGAATCAGACAGTCCCTTCCCCCTCACCCATCCTACTCTCTGGGGAGCGCTGCTTGTTGTCAGAATCACCTAGAAGTTCCGTAAGTCAGGCCAGGTGGTAAAGCTGGACGCACCAATACCTCCAGCCCCCTGGCTGTCCAGCGCCAACCCCGCGGTTCCAGAATCCCAGGGGCTTCCAAAATCCTGAGCCTCACGGGAACTTCCCTGCTGCAAAACACAAACCACCCTGCCCAGCGACCCTCCTCACCTCTCCTTGTCCCCGTCAGTGTGAGTTTTCGCAAGTTCCAAGATGTATTTGGTTCCCAGGTGCTGTCCGCAGCCTTGCCAGGGAGGACCCTCGCTTAAGGTTTAAGGCCCATGCTTCCTCTCCCAAACACAGACTTGTCAAACTCTGAGAGTTCAGATGAGGGGTGGTGAAACCATCTGAGCTTGCATCTATGACAGGCGCAAAGTGCCTGCCATCTGCCAGGCCCCAGATTCACCCCCTCACTCACACCCCGAGATGGTGGCACCCTCTGTAGAAGTGAGGAAACCGGCTGGGAGAAGAGATGTGTCCTGGCCAAGATCACACCTTAGTGAGTAAGAAGAGTCATCATAGGCACTGATGGCTGGAGAGAGGCTGGGGACCCCACCTCTGCCCTCAGCTCAGCCACCTTGCTGGGAGGACCTAACCATCCCCCGACCTGGTCCAGCATCTCCTACACAGGAGCTTCTGGTCGGCCCAGAGTCACCACACCGGGGTGGGAGCACCCTCAGGCTCAGCCTGGGCCCAGTCCCAGCTCTGGCACCGACTGGCTTTGAAACGTTAGGGCTGGGTGCAATGGCTCACGCCTGTAATCCCACCACCTTGGGAGGTGGAGGCTTGAGGCCAGGAGTTCCAGACCAGCCTGGGCAACATAGCCAGACCCCATCTCTTTTTTTAAAAAAATACCTAAAAATTAGCTGGGCGTGATGGTGCACCCCTAGTCCCAGCTAATCGGGAGGCTGAGGCAGGAGGATCATTTGAGCCCAAAAGGTCAAGACTGCAATGAGCTGTGATTGCACCACCGCAATCCAGCCTGGGCTACGAGCCAGATCCTGTCTTTTAAAAAAAATTCAGGCAACTGGGGTGCTCTGGCTAGACACATAGCATCACTAAAAGGGAAAGATGAAGGCCAGGCAGAGTAACTCACACCTGTAACCCCAGCACTTTGGGAGGCCGAGGCGGGTAGATCACGAGGTCAGGAGTTCAAGACCAGCCTGGCCAAGATGGTGAAACCCCATCTCTACTAAAAATAAAAAAAATTAACCAGGTATGGTGACGGGTGCCTGCAATCCCAGCTACTCAGGAGGCTGAGGCAGAGAACTGCCTGAACCCAGGAAGCGGAGGTTGCAGTGAGTTGAGATCGTACCACTCCACTCCAGCCTGGGTGACAGAGCAAGACTCCATCTCTCAAAAAAAGAAAAGAGGAAAAAAAGGAAAGGAAAGATAAGGCATCTGCCATCAGGGCGAATAGAAACTGCCAAGAAAATGGCCCAGAGTGGGAAAAAAAGGAAGAAAAAAGCCACAGAAGATCCCACAGGGGAAGACGCACATGACGCCCTTCTTTGTAGCGTTTTCCAGTTCCCCCGCACCCTCAGTGGTATTATCTTCCTCGTGCAACCCTGAGAGGTACGCACAGGCCCAGAGAGGTTAAGGGCCATGGCCAAGGTCACATAGCATGTAAGAGGCACAGCAAACAAGAAGTCATTTCTGCAACTATAACTCCAGTGACGACTTGTCTACAAGGCTATGCGCTCAGAATGTTTGGGGATGATTTCTAGAAGAGTTGAGCTGGGCTTTTAAGAATGGAAGAGCCTTAGCTAGGCAGGGGGAGAGGGGAAAAAAGTTTAACATAAGCATGACTATTTCAGAAGTCTACAGACCCCAGCAGCTGAGAATGCAGTTGAAAATGCATGTTCTAGAGTCCGACAGACCTGAGATGGAATTGCCCCATCCCACTCCTCTGCATGACCTTTGAAGAGTTCTTTAACCTTTCCAAGCCTCAGTTTCCCCTTCTCTGAAATAGAAACCATCATAGCACTTGCCTTAGAGCAATGGTTGTTAAAGGGGACTCCTTTCCAGCAGGACTATTGCTGGGGAATTGGCTAGAAATGCAGACTTTTGGGCCAGCCGCGGTGGCTCACACCTGTAATCCCAGCACTTTGGGAGGCCAAGGTGGGTGGATCACCTGAGGTCAGGAGTTCAAGACCAGCCTGACCAATATGGCAAAACTCTGTCTCTAGTAAAAATACAAAAATTAGCTGGGTGTTGTGGCGTGCGCCTGTAATCTCAGCTACTTGGGAGGCTGAGATAGAATTGCTTGAACCCAGGAGGCGGAGGTTGCAGTGAGCCAAGGTTGTGCCACTGCACTCCAGCATGGGTGACAGAGTGAGACTCTGCCTCAAAGAAAAAAAAAGAAATGCAGATTCTTGTTGGGCGTGGTGGCTCATGCATGTACTCCTAGCACTTTGCGATGCCGAAGCAGGATCATTTGAGCCTTGGAGTTCGAGACCAGTGTGGGCAACATAGCGAGACCCCTGTCTCTACAAAAACTATTTTTTTTTTTTTTTTTTTTGAAACAGAGTCCTGCTCTGTTGCCCAGACTGGAGTGCAGGGGCACAATCTCGGCTCAGTGCAACCTCCGCCTTCCGGGTTCAAGCAATTCTCCTGCTTCAGCCTCCTGAGTAGCTGGGACTACAGGCACCCACTACCACACCCAGCTAATTTTTGTATTTTTAGTAGAGTTGGGGTTTCACCATGTTGGCCAGGCTGGTCTCAAACTCCTGACCTTGTGATCTGCCTGCCTCAGCCTCCCAAAGTGCTGGGATTACAGGCGTCAGCCACTGTGCCCAGCCAAAAACTTCTTTTTTTTTTTTTTGAGAAGGAGTTTCACTGTTGTACCCAGGCTGGAGTGCAATGGCGCGATCTCGGCTCACCGCAACCTCCGCCTCCTGGGTTCAAGCAATTCTCCTGCCTCAACCTCCTGAGTAGCTGGGATTACAGGCACGCGCCACCATGCCCAGCTAATGTTTTTGTATTTGTAGTAGAGACCGGGTTTCACCATGTTGACCAGGATGGTCTCCATCTCTTGACCTCGTGATCCATCCGCCTCAGCCTCCCAAAGTGCTGGGATTACAGGCTTGAGCCACCGCACCCGGCCCGCCAAAAACTTCTTAAAGTAACTAGCTCTTTAATTTTTAAAAAGTTGTTTAAGAAATGCATATTCTCAGGCCACAGTGTCAGACTTCCTAAATCAGAAACTCCAGGGTGGGCCCAAGGAGCTGTTTTACAGGATGCCAGAAGGCACTCAGCTTTGGAGGCGCCCACCCAGTAGGACTGTTGGATGGAGAAGGAAGCATCCTGGGCTCCCCAAGTTCCAGAGCAGCTTCCCACCCTGTCCTTGTACCCCTTCCTCCAGGTCCGGTTCCCTTCCCACTTCAGCTCTGACTTGAAGGACCTCCTGCGGAACCTCCTGCAGGTAGATCTCACCAAGCGCTTTGGCAACCTCAAGAATGGGGTCAATGATATCAAGAACCACAAGTGGTTTGCCACGACTGACTGGATCGCCATCTACCAGAGGAAGGTGGGCCTCCCCTCCTTAAGCCTGCTGAAGATTTGGGGGCAGGCCAAGAGTCAGGGAGGACAGCCAATAGAGAGATAGAAAGGGAAGAGGGCCAGGCTCAGAGGCTCACACCTGTCATCCCAGCACTTTGGAACACCAGGGTGGGTGAATCACCTGAGGTCAGAAGTTCAAGATCATCCTAACCAACATGGTGAAACCCCATCTCTACTAAAAACACAAAAATTAGCTGGGCATGGTGGTGGGCGCTTATAATCCCAGCTACTCAAGAGGCTGAAGCAGGAGAATTGCTTGAATCTGGGAGGCAAAGGTTGCAGTGAGCTAAGCACTCCAGCCTGGATGACAGAGAGACTCTGTCTCAAAACAAAAAAAAAAAAAAAAGAAAGAAAGGGAAGAGAACAGGTACAGGAGCAACCACAGTAGAGTGCTTAGAGCCAGTGGGGTCTAGAAATGGAATTCTGGTGTCATTTGGCCATTCCATGACCTTGTGCAGAAGATGCCTCTCTCTGGGAAGTAATTTCCCCTTTGATGAGCTGGCTATATTAAGGGTTTCTGGTTGTTAAGAGGAATCCATAATCTAATGCTAAGCACAGGCTTGAGTCAGAGTAACTATGTCTTGAATGTTAGGCCATTCACATTTATTGTTGTAATAATGATTATGTTGAATGCTGAGGTCTGGGTGATTTTTGATCCCTCTCCAGGTGGAAGCTCCCTTCATACCAAAGTTTAAAGGCCCTGGGGATACAAGTAACTTTGACGACTATGAAGAAGAAGAAATCCGGGTCTCCATCAATGAGAAGTGTGGCAAGGAGTTTAATGAGTTTTAGGGGTTTGCCTGTGCCCCCATGGGTTTTCATTTCTTTCCTTTTTTTTTTTTTTTTTTTTTTTTTTGGGGGGGGGGGGGGGGGGGGGTTGGATTGAACAGCCAGAGGGCCCCAGAGTTCCTTGTATCTATTTCACCCCCACCCCACCCTCCAGGGTTAGGGGGAGCAGGAAGCCCAGATAATCGGAGGGACAGAAACACCAGCTGCTCCCCCTCATCCCCCTTCGTCCTCCTGCCCCCCTCTCCCATTTTTCCCTTCCTCCTTCCCCACAGCCCCCTACCCCAGCCCACTTCTGCCTGTTTTAAACGAGTTCCTCAACTCCAGTCAGACCAGGTCTTGCTGGTGTATCCAGGGACAGGGTGTGGAAAGGGGCTCAAACTCAACTCCAGCCCCCACCCACACCCCCATCCCACCCAACCACAGGCACCACTTGCTAAGGGCAAATGAACGAAGCGCCAACTTTCCCTTTGTAGTAATCCTGCCTGGGAAGGAGAGATTTTTAGTGACATGTTTAGTGGGCTGCTTGCTAGAATTTTTAAAAAACGACTTAAAATCCTATTTAAGTTCCACCAGTGCCTCCCTTCCTCCCTTCTCTACTCCCACCCCTCCCATGTCCCCCCATTCCCCAATCCATTTTAATGAGAAGCAGACTGACTTTGGAAAGGGAGGCGCTGGGGTTTGAACCTCCCCGCTGAGCTGCTAATTTCCTCTGGGCCCCTCCCTGGGGGATCCTCTCTGCCAATCCTGCGAGGGTCTAGTCCCCTTTAGGAATCCTCAGCTCTCCTCTTCCCCAACAGACCTGTCTTTACCCTTGGGCTTTGAGAGCCAGACAAAGCAGCTGTCCCTCTCCCTGCCAAAGAGGAGTCATCCCCCAAAAAGACAAAGGGGGAGCCCCAAGCCCAAGTCTTTCCTCCCAGCAGCAATTTCCCCCCAACTCCTTAATTTTATTCTCCGCTAGATTTTAATGTCCAGTTTTCCCTCAGCTCAGTGGGGAGGGCATACCTGCAAAAGGACACGGAAGAGGCCAAGTGCCCCCACGTCTTGGCCCGGGGTTCAAGGCTAGAGCAGCTGGGGAGGGGCTGCCTGTTTTACTCACCCACCAGCTTCTGCCTCTGCCATCCTGGGTCCTCCTCCTCCGGCTTAGCTGTCAGCTGTCCATCACGTCTCCCCCCAGTCTCATTTGTGCATTTTTCTCTCTTAATAGAAAAGTGGGGAGCCCCTTGGGAGCTACCCCGTTCTTCCCCTTATTTCCCGCTCTCATAACTTCTCCCCATCCCAGGAGGAGTTCTCAGGCCTGGGACGGGGCCCCGGGTGGGTTCGGGGGCGATTCAACCTGTGTGCTGCGAAGGACGAGACTTCCTCTTGAACAGTGTGCTGTTGTAAACATATTTGAAAACTATTACCAATAAAGTTTTGTTTAAAAAAAAAGTGTCGCTGGTGTTCTCGACTTCGATCACCCACCCACACACCCCCAGGGGGCTGGAAAGGGAATTTCGGACCCCAGCGTGCAGGCCAATCAGGTCCTGTCCTGGAGTCCTTGTAAACAGGGTTTAGCTGAAATTCCGGCACTCCTTCGGCCCAGTAGGAGAAACCAGCGTCAAACTGACCTTTGACCCCAGCTTCGGGGTCCCCAAATCTGCGGCGCGCCCCCTCGGCGTCCAGCCCGGGACCGAGAGGGCGCTCTAGGGAGGCGCTGGGGCCGGCGCGCCAGGAGGCCGAGCGGCAGCGGGGGCGGCACTGGCAGGGGGAGTAGAGGAGGGGAGAGGGTGCGCGGCCCCCTCTCCGCATCCTCAGCGCCGGGCCAGGCGCGCCGGAGGGACGCGGGGGCGGCGGCAGCAAGAGGGTTCCCGCAGCACCCTGCGAGCGCGGCGGCCCCGGCCCGCGGGCGGCGAGTTCCCGGTAAGTGCGGTCCCGAGAGCGGAGCGCGCCGGGGAGGCGTGGAGAGGGGGGCTGGGCGCCGGGGACGTCTGGGTCCCGCGCCCAATGGCTGGAGGGCGGCCGAGCGCCGCCCGCCCGCCCTGCCCGCCCCCTCTCCCCTCCCCCCGGCACTCCCCTCCCCCTCCCCCGCCCGCCGCTTTTCCCCCGCCCCCGCCCCGGCGCCAACTCCGCGGCGCCTCCTTAAAAAGCGCGCGGGAGTTGTAAGGGGGGGCCGGAGCGAGCCAGAGTGAGCGAGAGCGCAGGGTAAAGGGGGCGGGCGGGGGGCCCGGGCTCCACCTTAAAAGCGGGCGCGTGGGGGTGGGAGGGAGGAAGGCGGGCGGCGGGGAGGAGGGAGGGAGGGAGGGAGGGAAGGAAGGGGGGCCGGAGTGTCCCGGGCGCAGGGCGCGCGTGCGGCGGCGGCGGCGGCGGGGAGGGGCCGGCCGCGCGGCGCTCCCCTCCTCCTCCTCGCATCCCCGGCCCCGCGCGCGCCCAGCAGAAGCGGGTCTGTGTGTGCGTGCGTGCGAGTGAGTGAGTGTGTGCATATTTTTTTTCTCTCTTTTCTTTCTCTCTCACTGTTTTTTCCTCTCTCTCTCTCTCCCTCTCTCTCTCTTTTTTTTTTTTTTTTTTTTTTTTTTTTTTTTTGCAAAGAAACAGCAGCGCCGCCGCCGCTCCGCCGAGGCGCTGCGCCCCCCGGGGGGGGAGGCGGAGGAGGCGGGCAGCGGCGGAGGGAGGGGAGCCGGGGAGGGGGGCGCCGCGCTGGGAGGGAGGCAGCGCGCACGGTGCAGCCGGGCCGGGCGGGAGGCATGGCGGGGCCCCCGGCCCTACCCCCGCCGGAGACGGCGGCGGCCGCCACCACGGCGGCCGCCGCCTCGTCGTCCGCCGCTTCCCCGCACTACCAAGAGTGGATCCTGGACACCATCGACTCGCTGCGCTCGCGCAAGGCGCGGCCGGACCTGGAGCGCATCTGCCGGATGGTGCGGCGGCGGCACGGCCCGGAGCCGGAGCGCACGCGCGCCGAGCTCGAGAAACTGATCCAGCAGCGCGCCGTGCTCCGGGTCAGCTACAAGGGGAGCATCTCGTACCGCAACGCGGCGCGCGTCCAGCCGCCCCGGCGCGGAGCCACCCCGCCGGCCCCGCCGCGCGCCCCCCGCGGGGCCCCCGCTGCCGCTGCCGCGCCGCCGCCCACGCCCGCCCCGCC